CTACAAGTTTTGTTCAAGAAAGAGCTTCTACCCGGTTTGAAAGGTACACATCTTAAAACTTGTGTTCATTGTTTGTCGGGTAAACAACATAGAGTTTCTTTTCATAAAAATGTTGCTTCTAGAAAAGAAAATGTTTTGAAGTTGATTCATTCAGATGTTTACGGTCCTTTAAAAGTTAGAACACATAGTGGTGCACTTTATTTTGTTACTTTCATTGATGATTATTCAAGGAAAGTTTGGGCTTTTCTACTAAAAACTAAAGATCAAGTTCTAGAAGTATTTAAGCATTTTCAGGCCATGGTTGAAAGAGAAACAGGGCAGAAATTGAAGTGTATTCGATTAGACAATGGTAGTGAATACATTGCGCCATTTGATGAGTATTGTCGCAGCCAAGGTATTCGGCACCAAAAGACAGTTAAGAAGACTCCTCAACAAAATGGGGTTGCCGAGAGGATGAACCGCACCATTTTGAAAAGAACAAGGTGTTTGCTTTCACAAGCTAAATTGCCAAGATCTTTTTGGGGTGAGGCAATGAAGACAGCGATTGACGTGATCAATTTGTCTCCTTCCTATCCTTTGAATGGTGATGTTCCAGAAAGAGTTTGGACCAGCAAAGATGTATCTTATGAGCACTTGAGAGTGCTTGGTTGTCGAGCCTTTGTTCACATTCCAAAGGATGAGAGGTCCAAGCTTGATAGTTAGTCAAGACAATGTATTTTTCTTGGCTATGGGCGTGATGAATTCGGGTATAGATTGTGCGATCCAGTCGACAAGAAAGTCATTTGAAGCTGTGATGTTGTGTTTTTTGAAGACCAAACAATTGAAGACTTTGGCAAAGGTGATCAACCGAAGCCAAAAAGTAGTAATCTCATTGATATGGATCCATCTCCTTCATCTTCAGTTGATGATGAAAATGGAGGAGATGTGCAGCCACCCATTGAAGATGTAGAGGATGATGCTAATCCTAATGAAGTTGAGACAAAAATTGAGGAAGGGTATCCAACTCAAGAACCGCCACCACAACTTGAGTTGAAAAAATCTACAAGGGACTGACAACCTTCAAGAAAGTATCCTCCCAATGAATTTGTGTTGATTTCTGATCAAGGGGAGCCTGAGAGCTACCAAGAAGCAATTGAGCATACAAAGAAAGATGATTGGAAAAAGGCAATGGAAGAGGAGATGAATTCCTTACTTGAAAATTACACTTATGATTTAGTGAAGTTGCCTAAGGGGAGGAAAATTCTGAAAAATAAGTGGATTTTCAAATTGAAGAATGATAGTAAGAATCTGAGGTACAAAACACGTCTTGTTGTGAAAGGCTTTGGGCAAAAGAAATATATTGACTTTGATGAGATTTTCTCGCCAGTTGTGAAAATTTCTTCTATTCGGGTTGTACTTGGCATGGCTGCAAGTATGAACCTTGAAGTTCAGCAACTTGATGTGAAGATCGCATTTCATCACGGTGATCTTGAAGAAGAAATTTACATGGAGCAACCGGAAGGTTTTGTAGAGAAAGGGAAAAAGAAATTTGTTTGCAAATTGAAGAAAAGTTTGTATGGTCTCAAGCAAGCTCCGTAGCAATGGTACAAAAAATTTGACTCTTTCATGATGAATAATGGTTTTTCTAAAACTACTTCGGACCATTGTGTGTTTGTGAAAAATTTCCCGGATGGTAAATTTATTATTCTTTTGCTTTATGTTGATGACATGTTAATTGTAGGTCAAGATTCTACCATGATTAACAAGTTGAAGTTAGAGTTGAGTAAATCTTTTGCTATGAAAGATTTGGGATCGGCAAAGCAAATACTTGGTATGAAAATTGTTCGTGATCGCAAAGAGGGATTGATTTGGTTGTCTCAAGAAAGCTACATTGAGAAGGTTCTTGAGAGATTCAACATGGATAAAGCAAAGCCAGTTGGTTGTCTACTTGGGGGTCACTTCAAGCTTAGTTTGAATCAATGTCCTATAAGTAAGAAAGACAAGGAAGAGATGCAGAAAATTCCTTATGCTTCAGCAGTTGGTTCTTTGATGTACGCCATGGTTTGTACAAGGCTGGATATTGCTCACGCCATTGGTGTGGTGAGTCGTTTCTCTCTAATCCGGGTAAAGAACATTGGGCAGCGGTAAAATGGATTCTAAGGTATCTTCGAGGGACTTCGAATGTGTGTTTGTGTTTTGGAGATGGTAAGCCGATGCTTGATGGGTTCATGGATTCTGATATGGCTGGTGATGTTGATTGTAGGAAATCTACTTCGGGGTATTTAATGATTTTTGCAGGGGGAGTTGTGGCATGGCAATCTAAATTATAAAAATGTGTTGCTCTCTCAACTACCGAAGCTGAATTTATTGCCATTACGGAAGCTTGCAAAGAAGAGTTATGGTTGAAATTTTTTTTGCAAGAGTTGGGTTTGAAGCAAGAAAAGTATGTGCTTTATTGTGATAGTCAAATTGCTATTTACTTGAGTAAAAATTCTACTTTTCATTCGAGATCGAAACACATTGATGTGAGATACCATTGGATTCGTGATGTGTTAGATTAGAAATTGTTACAACTCGAAAAGGTTCACGCAGATGATAATATTTCGGATATGTTGACTAAGACTTTGTCGAGGGACAAACATTTAAAGTGTTGAACTTTGACGGGTATGGTTGATCTCTCCACCTAAGTCGGTAGGGGGAGAATTGTTGGGTATACCTCCTTATTGGTGTGTGGGACCCAATTGGTTTATTAAAAGAATTTTGGTTTGGTTTGGTTTAGATATAACAGCAGTGATTTAGACCCCCTGAAATTTCAACGCCAACCACCCTCATACACACGTGGCGGGTGGTGATTGGAGGAGAAGAAAAAAAAGAAAAAGAAAAAGAAAAAGTGACCAATCAAAAAAGAATGGGGGTCAAAGGAGGTGGGGGGAAAGGGGGTCCAAATCTTTATTCTAGATATAATATATTTTATATATTATATCTAATTTGTGGAGACCCAATTCAATTTGGTTACAACTAGGGTTTGATAAAAAAAGCCCACAGGTTTACTATAGATATATGGCTTTGTTTTCAGAGAGAGAAGTGAGTGGCCTAATTATATTTGTTTTTCCGAAGTTGAGTGGAGCGGCAGCTAAACATTGATATTGGGTGCTTTGATTCTTGGGTGTATATTCAAGTTGGTGCATTGGCTTTGTGTGGAACAAATTGGTGAATATTTGGTTATTTTGGTGAAGCTAATTTGGTTCGTTATTTTGGGTCTTCTTCAACTCTGTTTCAGAAGATTTTTGTTCATCTATTTGGCGAGGTCTTTTCTCTTGTTTATTTGTGATTATTTGGAATTCACTTAAGGGTGGTTTTGTGAGACCATTCGTGTCTCGTTTGTAATCGTTTGAAAACTTTTTGGTTGATAGTGGAATCGAATTTCGATCCCGTAGACGTACCTCACATTGAGGGAACCACGTAAAAATTCTTGTATTGTTTGTGATTTAATTTTTTCGTATTAGTTTTTATTCTCATTGATTGATTTACTTGTAGGAAATCACATATTTTCCCTAACACAAAATACTCTAGACACACTTCTCCACTTAAACTACCCTACCTTAATTATATAGACGACATTCGTTCCAATCTCTCAAACTATTGTGATTATCGATCCTAAATAACAAAAATGTTCACTTTTAGATAGTTATTGGTTCTCAATTTTCACTTCTCATCTACTTTTATTATTACTGTTACTAAAATTATACTCACTGTTCTATCAAAATTTTTATTATTATGTTTGGTTGACTATAAAAAATAAATTACAAATGCAATCATCACTCTTCATCATAAGAGAAAATAGAAAAATATAAAGAATGATTATTTCTATTTCAATCCATTCCACTCAACCAAATAGGGCATAATATTGAGTAGTTCTAATGACCCGTGCTCTTGTTATGGATTTTGAAATTGACTTGTTAAAGACATCAAGTCTGTTTTTTTTTTCCTACGAAAAAAATAAAAAAAAAAATCTTAATTAGATTTGGAAGATTAAAAAAATTAGGGTAAATTACGAATGACCCCTTCAGGTTTGTTTAAAATACAAATTACCCCCTGTGATTTGAAAAATTATAAATAGCCCATTGTCGGAATTTTTTATTTAATAGAATTAACTAAAAAAATGAAATTTCTAATTGACCTCTTATACAATAATAAAATTATCATAATTATTAATTGCAATAAAATTATAATATTATTAAAAACTGTTAATTAATTTGATAATTTATTAATAAAAAGGGCCATTCGTTATGAAATTAGAAACCTTAGAGGGCAAACGTAATTTTTAGAACAATAGGAGACAATTCGTATTCTAAGAAAATCTCAAGAGATATGTTTGTAATTTAAATTAATAATAATTTATTTTTTTTTATTTTTTTTATTTTTGTATAAGAGTAACCTATGAAAGAAAATAGAAAGGGATATAAATGTCCTTTTATTAATTTTAGCAGAGTTAGTGTTGCAATTTATTTTAAAACTATATGTGAGTTCTCTGTTTATATTTGTCTTCTTTTATGCCAAAAATAAAAATTTGAAGATGGCATGTTTTGCTTCTAGACCTCTATGTCTGTTTCATCTCTTCTTCAACAAGTAAAATTCTTGTATCTAAAAAAAAAACAAGTACAATGCTACTGGAAGCAAAGATTAGATTGCTTCTCTTTTGGGATGAATTTAAAAAAACCAGTTTATTAGTTTATTTTAGTCACATCACTTTTCTACTTTTTTGTATGTGTTTTCGTAAAAAGTAAAAAAGTCAGTTTATAAGTCATACTAAAAAGAGTCTGTTTATAAGTCATATCCAAAAAAGTCAGTTTTTTTGTTACCGTGATGTCGTTGCATGTATAATGATTAAATTTAATTAAAAAAAAATTAATTTTATAGCAGGTTAATGTGTTTTCTTTTTTTTTTCTAAATTGAGATAACTTTTTTTTTAATATTCTTGTGGGTATGGAAATCATATAATTGAGTAAATACTGGTACAGGTGAATAATGCAGGAATTTCTGGAATCACAATTGATGATGTTAGTCTCTCTATAAACCAATGTGGTCTTATTTGAAGATATATTATAAACTCTAGAGGCATATAAATAATTTACTAGTGCCAATTTCAATGTAGGTGTTACGTTCAGATGCTACATCAGTAAAAGATGTTACCAATCAAAGTTATGAAGGGTCAGAAGCTTGTTTGAGAACCAACTATTATGGAGCAAAGCAAGTAACTGAAGAGCTTATTCCACTTCTTCAACTATCAAACTCTACTAGAATAGTTAATGTCTCCTCCACCTTGGGGCAATTGAAGGTACACAAATTTATCTATCCTATAGAGGAAAATACAAAAGTAATGAAAAGGAAATTGACACTGGATGGATTTCACTGTATTCCCATAGTTTCTAAATAATGTACATTAGTTGTATGGATGTACATAAGCGGATAATTAATTGTAAAAATCACCCTATGATTTCACATATGCAATGATTGCGGAGGATATAGGGATTAGTAATGCTATAAACACTAAATGAAATACTGCATAAATGGGAATGGAGGGGTTATAATAATGTTTTGTATTTCAGTTTATTTCAAACAAAAAAGCCAAGAAGGAACTAAACGATATTGATGGCCTCACCCTGGAGAAAGTGGACGACGTGATTGAGAGATTTCTTGGGGAAATTATTCAATACTCCCGGAGCACCACGTGTCCATACTCCAAACCAATCACCAATTAGTTAGCCCCATGTTGTCCCCCCATCTCCAACATAAATCGTGGGCCCTTGTGTCTCTCCACCAATCAAAACATTATGGAGCACTACGTGTCCATACTCCGGGAGTACTGAATAATCACCCGATTTGTTGAGGATATAAAGGAGGATTTGCTGGAAACCAAAGGATGGCCTATTCGTCTTTCTGCTTACAAAGTGTCCAAGGCAGCTCTCAATGCATGCACAAGAGTTTTGGCAAAAAAGTATCGTAATATTGTCATAAACGCAGTTAAGTCCTGGCCATATCGAAACAGACATCAACCAAAATATTGGAACATTGACTGTTGAACATGGTGCTAAATGGCCCGTGAGGCTGGCTTTGCTCCCTCATGGTGGGCCTTCTGGCTTATTTTATGATCAGATGGAAGTATCAACTTTTTGAACAAATGCATATTTAATATAATTTAGGAAGTTCAAATTAGCACACGTGTATGCATGAAAGAGAGAAGAATATTATAACTTCTCATCTTCTATGTTATATATTTTTGAATAATAAGTGGTGCAATGAAGATGTAATAATCAGATTTTTTTTATCATATTTTATTTATCACCTTATGTATAAACATTATATTAGAAATAAATATGAGTGGTATAGGACCTTGTGTCCTGTATCAATTGTGTGTCCCATCCAAGTAAATCTTATAAGTCTATTTATTTTTATTTGTTTGTTTTAAGTCTCTATCACCTCTCCAAATGTTATGGACGGCTTTGTTGGTCTGCGCGCTTGAACGTGAAAAGCGACCCGAGCGTGGAAAGTGAGATTGCCCTTGACCTTTTTTTAGTGTATTTGGAACCTCCTTGTTTCATTTTAGGACATTGATCGAAGTGATAACATGATGGTAAAGTAAGAGTGAACCAAGAATTTAATTCGGATAATTTTTCCTACGAACAGCCGTCACTCTTTTACCCTTTTATTTTTCTACACTTTGAATTTGGATATGAGGCTAGAACCATTAGAAAGATTATTTCTGGGACTTCGATTTGGACACAAGAACGACCTAGAACGGAGTCTGGATGAAAGAGTTATGCCCGTTTGAAGTTTTGGAATCTGCGCGAATTCAGCAAGTTTAAAGGCATTTTTCTAGATCATTCTTCACACTTCTAGCTTCTCTCTTCATCCCTCTCACCCTAGGTCCGAAAACCCTAGGTTTTTAACCCCAAATACTCTCCATTCTTCTAAGATTTGGGCAAGATCCCTTACAAGAAAGTGAAGAGGCTTAAAGCTCAACATTTTCTATCGATTAGAATTCGGATTTGTGAAGGAATCTCATCAAAGCTTTGCTCCTTGCTTGATTCTTGAGGTAGGGGTCCTAGTTCTTCTTCAATACTTGCATTAATAGATAGATTTGTGGCATTTTGATTATATAAATGTAAAATCTACATTTTTTAGCATATAGTGTTATATCATGGAATTGGGGGGTTTAGGGTTTGAAGTGTTGGGGTTCAATTGTTGGGTTAAGATTATAAATTATGAACCTTAGGTGTATAATCAATGGAAAAATTGGAATAAGAATTAGTGGTTTGAGAAGTTTGAATTTTTGTTGAAAATCCTAAATTAATTCATGATGACAATTAATGATTTTGCCTAAATTGATAGTGGAATCATGAAATTGAGAGGTTGAATTATAGGTATACATGTTTAATTGAATTTTGGAAGTGTTTGAAAATTATGTTCAAAATTAGCGAATGAACCTTTATTATGGATATTGTAAATCATGCTCTAATATGAAATGAAATTTGGGGAAATAGATTTGTTAATGATATGGAATTTGTGATAAGATGATGAAGTGTAGATTTAAAAATTTTATTGTGTAGTTAGAAAGTGATTTTATACCTCAAAACTAAAAGCCCAAATTTATGTTTGACTCTAGTTATGAAGTTTTATTTTGGAAAATGAGGATACTTTAATCAACATGAAATTTATGAAATTAAGTCTATGTTAGGTTAAGATGAGTGTGAATAATGATAAATGGGAGATTGTGAAATATAACGGTATTATATGAAGGAGTTGTATCAAAGAAATTAAATGTTGGAGATTAAATTTATAACCGTGGGTAGTAATTGATAACCAATGTGTTGTAAAAATTGAATATGAAGACTTGATAACAATATGGAAAAGTAAAGAAATAGTTTGAACCCAAGAATTGTGAACATTTTAAAGATGAATCTTTGCCTCTATGGATGTGTTGTTATATTTTTGTGTGACAAAATAATGAAAGATTTAATAGATAATGAAGAAGGTCATGGAACATATTTGTACTTGTTATGTAAATGGAATTTTAATATATGGTGGATATGTATTGAACTAATGTGTTACGGAAATAATGGAAGACATGTTGGCATTGCCCACTAATTGTAATGATGGATTATGATGTTATCTTGGGGTCCGTTTCCCACCGTATTTTGAGCTGGCAAAGCGGGGCGCTTGGGATAGGTTCTGCCTTCCTTCTGGAGTAGCGCCCGGTAAAGCGTGTGGTATGTTGAGGTTCCTCATTCCTTCTAGCTTGTGACCGTTAAAGCGTGTGACTCATGGAGATGACTTGTGATTGGATCCGGTATTTGATATGAAACTAATTGAAAGAATGGAAATTGAAGTGGTAATTGGATTATGGATTGGTGATGGTGAACTTAATGAATTAGTTGCGACAATAAAGGTAAATTATGAGTATTGTTCTATAAATAAATAAGAGACTGAATTGAAAGGGGTTTGTTAATCTTGTGTTATCTTGAAATGAAATCTGAGAGTGTAAATAACGATGTGAATTGAGAATGGGAGAATTGTTAGTGAATCAAAAAGGGAACTTGAACTTGAATTTATGGAGTTTTAAATAAATATAATGAGTAGAAAGGAAGAACGAAAGAAAAAGAAGAACATCAAAAATGGAAACTGAATGAGAAATATTTTGGGAATTGGTTAATAACTTTTAAATGATGTTGTTTCTCAAATATGGTTGTTTCACAAGGATCTATGGTTTTCTAAAGTTAAGGGATAATTTTTTATGGCCGGAGGTTTTCCTAAAAGTGTTTAAATAGTTTTGAGAAAAAGGTACTTTACTTATGATACTTTGAAATTAGAAGATGTCACCCTACTATATGGTATCACCCTGCATGCATGATCATTTTTATCTGTGTGTTAGTTATTGATTTAGAACTATGAGATTCCTACTGGGTACTAGTGCTCACCCCTTGTTGTTTTATCTTTTTACAGGAAGAAAGTTTAGATTCTTTAATTGAAGAGTTAAGAAGTTCATGTGTCTTTTATATGTAATTTCATTGTAGATGTGATGGATCATGTATTTGTATTTCATTCATTTGTAGCTTCACAGTAAGAGATTGGCATGTATTGTTATCATTGTAATGTTCATTGTGAGAGAGAGAGAGAACATGTATCATTGTATTTCTATTACTCAAGGGTAATGGATGTTTGTAAAAAAAAAAAAAAAAAGACCTAATTTTAAGGCTTTGGTAATGTTTCTGAGTAATTAAAATTAGGGTGTGACACCCAACCAAACAGAGGGTTGGTTGAGTATTGTTCCGCTCCTGCAAAGCATATGCTACAAATATAGAGGATTAATTACATTTACCACTCCCATTAAAAAAAAATTACATTTATCACTCGCACACATTATCATTAAAATTTTGTTTTGATTAATTCATTTTTAATTGTAACAATTAATTTCTTACCTTTTAAACCAAACTTTAATGACCCTCTTCCATATACTTGCTGGTTGACAACAATTAATATGTGAGTCACACTCGTCTTTTTCAATTGTGAAACTCTGTGCACTTCACTAAAATCTTATTTTAGTTCCTTAATTTTTATTAAAATTTCACTTTTGTTTCTTTACTTTTGATTATGCCCTCAAAACAATGCTAGGCTCATTAATGGTAAATGAATGGAAGAGTGACATTATAACTTGAAGAATAAAAAAATTGAAAATCAAGATTGAAAATGAATGAATTAAAGTGAAACTTCTTGAAAAAATACAACACTTTAAAGTGTAATTAACCCAATTAGGGGTTTTGAAACTCATCATGATCATGCCAAATATAAATAAATAAATAACAAGGTTCTTTTCTCTATTATTCATGTTAAATTTGAAACGTTTCTACGCAGAATATTGCAAATGGAAGGGCGAAAATGGTACTGAGCGAAGGCGACGAACATGCAGAAGAGAAAGTAGATGAGGTAGTAAATCAGTTTTTAAAGGATGTTAAAGAGGACATGTTGGAGACCAAAGGATGGCCTATCAATCTCTCTACTTATGTTGTCTCTAAAGCAGCTCTTAATGCCTACTCAAGGATTTTGGCAACAAAATTCCCCAATTTCCAAGTAAATTATGTTAGCCCTAGTTTTGTTAAAACCAACATGAACTGCAATAATGGAGAGTTTGATGTTGAAAAAGGCGCGAAAGGCCCTGTAGCGCTAGCTTTGACACCTGTTGGTGGCCTTTCTGGATTGTTCTTTGATCGGATGGAAATGTCAAGCTTTTGATAGCTGCTTTGTATATTGAATACCAACCGTGGGAGAGAGATAGAATTCGATATCTCAGTGAATTCCTGTCACGTCTCATACCAATGGAAAAGCTTGAGCCCATACATAGACCACGGAAAACATCCAAGAGTGTCCTTGTTTTCTTATGGAGAGACAAAGAGCTCTATATTGTGAATTTTAAAAATCTCCATCAACCATTTTTAATTTACAATAAAGATTTGTTGAGTTTCAGCAGTAGAGCTTTGTTTTTGCCCTTTCAGATCGATAGAACTAACAATAGGTACTTCTCTAAAACCTTACAATCTTGTTTGCTATGGACCCATCTTTGCCTAGGAAGATCATTTTGTTTTTCTTATGTTTTGAAATTTTCTCTAAAATCACAAAATGCTTACTAATTCTTCGTTTTCAATAGGATTTTAATGAAACTTAACGAAATTGGAAAGCATTTTCAAAATACAAATGAGTGTTCTTGTCCAATCTTAAAAACCAATGACTTTTTGCTTAAATTACATGAAGAATTGAACCTTTTTAGGGGTATAAAACTCATTTTTAAAGTCAATTTTGGCGATTCTATTTACACAACAAAATCTCCTTACATCCCATTTTTTTTTAATACAATTTTGTCCCTACTTAAAATTACCAGAAAGTACTCAAACTCAAAAAATTTAAATCATAATTCCTCATTGCACTCACCACTTGTCTCCATTAGTCTACCACCACTATCGCCACTCACCGTTGCCCTTTTCCACTTCGTGACAGCCGTCGACACCCCTGACCTCTCCCCTGTACCTCCATTCGTTCTTCTTCTTAAACCCTAGATTTGGAGAGGGATCACAATGGGTGAAAGGGGCTAGGTAGGAGGTCGTGGGGAGGGGATTGGATTGTAGTGGAGATTCAGGTCACGGTAGGTAAGGAAGTTGGGAAAGGTAGTAGGGGAGCTAGGAAAGGGGTTGGGTCACAATGGAAGAGAGTTGGGATTGATGGTTGGAGTGAAAGAGATGCCAACTATAGTGGCCGGAGGTGGTAGTTGGAAATGGTGTAGAGTAGGAGTGTAAAAATGGCCCGCAGCCCGTGGGCGGCCTGAAGCCCGGCATAGGCCCAACTCAGTTAGGTTCGGGTCCGAGCCTAACTCGAGACCCTAGGTCTAGGCTTGGGTCGTCACTTTGAAGGCCGACCCGCCTAGCTCGGCCCATTGGCCCACTCAAAGCCCAGTCCAAGGCCCAACCTGCCTAGCTCGTCCAAGGCCCAATGTCATTTTTAGTGGAAAATAATAAAATTTTAATAGAAAAAAGCGAAAAAAAAAATAAAAATTCAAGCCTACTGGTCCGGCTTGAGGCCTGAATACCCTCTAGGTCTGGGCTTGGGCTTAATTTTTTGGCCTGTCAGCCGACCTGGTTTGAATTTTGGCGAGAGCTTAGGTGGCCTAACATGGGTCGGGCCCAATTTACACCCCTAGTGTAGAGTTCAAATTTCAGAGGTAAAAGGTATAAATGTGACGGTATGTTTGGTATAATCAGAGATCAAAGAGAAAGACAAGTTTGGAAAAATTCTGGGTCTATCATCATGATCTGAACATTTCAACCATCGCCATCTAAACCATCGCGATCAACAGCGTGAACCCTAGCTCTCTCTCCCTCTTCGCGATCGATGCTAGCGTGACAACGGCTCTCTCTCTCTATGGATCAATCTGAAACCCTAGCACCGGAGCTAAGGTTTTTAGATTGTTCTTTTTGTGTGTGTGTGTGTGTGTGTGTGTGTGTGTGGAGGTTCGGTGTTTTTTTAATTAAAAAAAATAATTAATGAATGAAATGAAAAAAAATATACTAATTGATACTATTAATAATTTTAGTATTAATTGATGCTAATTAAGCCATTAATTAACACTAATTAATTTATAATGAAAAAACACAATTTATACTAATTGATACTATTAATAATTTTACTATTAATTGATGCTAATTAGGCCATTAATTGACACTAATTAATTTATAATGAAAAAATGAAAAAATAAATATCACCAAAAAAATTATATAAATTGAAAAAAAATGAAAGGATTTGTCAAATGAATAAATGAATTACCAAAAATGAAAAAAAGAAATATCACTAAAAATAATTAAAATGAATAATAATAATAATAATAATTGATGGACAAATTGATACTAATTTTAATAATCGATGAACAAATTAATAATAATAATAATAATTAATAATTGATACTAATTTTAATAATTGATGAGCAAATTGGTAATTAATAATAATAATAATAATAATAATAATAATAATAATAATAATAATAATAATAATAATAAAGAAAATAAATACATATATAAATAATTAAAATGAATGTATAGAAAATAATATGTAATGAAATCACAACATTAATATAAATTAGAACATGAATATTAATTTTAATGAATTAATAAATTAAACAAAATTAATAAAGAAAGAAGAGAAGAAAAAAATTTAAAAAAAAAAGAAAAGAAAAGAAGGTGAAAAAGAAAAGAAAATAAAATAAAATGAAAAAAAAATGTATTATAAATGAAATCACAAATTTTATATCTTATAAGGTCAAAAATGACAATTATACAGCAAAAAACTATTTTACAGCTTATTTACCAAACACTACTCTGCTGCTTAAATCCATAATCTGACAGCTGCACCAAACAGGTTACCAGCTTATGTTCACAGCTGTAAGTTATAATATGTTAAGTTATAATCTATAATCACTTTCCCACAGCTCTACCAAACGGGGCCTATAGATTATAGCTTAACAGATTATAGCTTACAGCTGTGAACATAAGCTGGTAACTTATTTTGTTTGGTGCAGCTGTGGGATTATGGATTTAAGCAGGAAAGTAGTGTTTGGTAAATAAGCTGTAAAATAACTTTTGGCTGTGTAATTATCATTTTTGCCTTATGAACATAAAAATTGTAATTTTGTCATTTTCTTCACTTTAAATTTTGAAAAAGTTATTTCATTAATAGAAATGATATAATTAGTACCTAATTTGGTACATCTTTTCGTTACCTCAAAAAAAAAAAAATTATTTTTAATATTGAGTTCACAATGGAACAAAAAAATGTCATTACAATAAAAATGTCATTTTTTTTTTAATATTGAGTTCACAAGAGAAGCCTAGCCCTTACTCAAAATTTCTTTAGTTATACCTCATATTGTATTTAATTATGATATTTTTTCTTTTTTTTCAATTATAACTTAAAATATTAAAAAAAAATTTAATTAATATAGTTCATACATAGCGTTTCCTCTTCATATTTATACTTTATAACCTGAATGCTATTTGATCAAATTGGATAGGCCTGTGATGAGAGTAAAACTAGTAAATAAAATAAAACAGATAAATAACCGGAGGACATTAAAATGGATAATTGCCAGAAAAATCATCAAAATTTTTTCCTTTTTAAAGGTAACAATAAAAGAACAAAACCTTGAGGCACAACCTCAACAATTCATATAGGAACAGGAAAACAATACTTCTATCAAACAAGTTTTCATGATTTTAATTTTTTTTTTCTTTTCGAAAAACAAAAAGCGATAACAAACATCCCCTAAATTTGGCAGTAGTTGAACAATACAACCAAGTCTAAATTCCATCTTTGAGTAGTCTTGAGAAAATTGTTGATGCTATGTGCTAAGCAAACCAAACATATTATCTCCATTAGCTTCTCTTCGCTCCCAACAAATATGGAAGGCAGAGAAGCTGTGAGCTCTAAGTATGTTGAAGTAGGCGTTGCTAGCTCAAACTGAGACCTGAAATCCATGTCCACTATCAACCTTACTGTTTCATCACCACCACCAGTGCTGTCCTTCATCAAAATATCTATACATTCATAATCACCTGTAAATTCAAACACTTCATGAACACAACACAACACACACATATCAGAAATGGGTCCTTACCAAAATCCATAGAGAGATGAGAGAGAGAAAGAGACCTAAAGGGCGACCAATGGTAGCAGGCCAAGAAGTTCTACAAAGAGAGGCTTCAAAACAATCCCTAATAAGCCTCAGGACAATCCACTTCTTCAGAGAGGTGTGGTCACTCGCTGACTGTTTTTTCAGTTATAATTTTCCCTTTGCATAATAATGTATATATATATATATATGGAAGTTTCAAGTGGATGGCAATGGAAGTTTCAAGTGACTCGAAAAAAACTTCAAATATAACTATCACTATTGGAAAAGAGAATAAAAAGATATGTAAACATTTGTTTATACCAACTTCAATGAAATAATTATCTGTCACTATTGGATGGATTGGAAACAAAGGTTGAATGCCATTATGATACAATGAATCTTATCAACTAAGAAAAGAAACAAAAAATGAAGTCTAACATTTGTGAGTCTAACCTACATCATTATTAGACTAATTTACATGCCCACACTTAGGATCATTTAACTTGAACATACTTTACTAAGCAATTGGTGCATTGGACATAGTGGTAATATGGGAGCTATTTTAAAGCAAATGCCATGGTTTAGAAGCAACCATGGGAGCTATTTTAAAAAAATATTTGTTTCTAAAATCCTTTGGATTGTGTTTAGAAGTAAGAAACCAAAAGTGAACAATAATATTCCACAATAATTAATCTGTAAATTACCTTGAAGCTGCAAGAAGAGAAGATGCAATCACAGCACAACATTTTCTCATCATCATTCTAAATTCAGTAAAGCTCTAAACTTTAAAAAAAAAAATTGAATCAGAAATTTATCTAAAAAGATGATAGATGGCACATACCTATTATGAATTTCCATTTTTTCCAAAAACCCAATCTTCATTAGGATCAGAGGATTACTGCAACATGTGTTTAAGAAAATCTACTGCAATATTAATTCAATTCAGTTCATTTCCTTCTATTCTAATACAAACACTAGCAGAAAACTAAATGCTAATTCAAGATTTCGTGAACATTTAAATTGATTGGGCCAATCTTTAAATATATATATATATATATATAAAATTATAAAAAAAAAACCAAAAACAAAACAACAAACAAGAAGATAATAAATTAGCATTTTCTTTTTAAGTGAAAACAACTCAAAAATAATTGTATTTCATAGAAGTACAAATGAGAATTGTGTGCATACCCCAACTTTCACCTCTATGAAAGTCACAATTATTTCAAATTTTCTCACTGAAACACAATTTATCTTAATTTCAAAATGTTGAAACAATATCAGGACATTTGTCTCTTGTTATATAGATATCAAAAGGAAACCTATACATAAACACTGAACCAAAATTGATTTTGATTAAACACTACAGAAAAAAATGAACAAGAATTGAGCACAAATTGAGCAAAAATTTAACAAGAACACTGAAAATTGAGTAGAAGAATCTTACCTGAATACTCAGGTGTCGAACTCGTCCAATGGCTATGAATGGTCGCTGCGAAAAAATAAATAAATAAACAAAAAAGATGACGAAAATCAGAGAAGAAAAAGAAAACGGAGAGAGGAACAAAGAGTGTGATGCTGCGGAAAAAAAAAAAAACAAAAAAGATGACAAAAATCGGAGAAGAAGAAGCAAGCGGAGAGAGGAACAGAGAGTGTGATCTGATCTCTATCTGTGTAAACCCTAACTCGATGTGTATATATATATATATCACAAACAAAAGGCATGAACTCTTACCTTTTCGGTGCAGATCAACGGAAACAGGGAGGAAAGGAGTTCGATTGGCTGATCTTGGAGATGTGGAGGAGTTCGATCAGCTGATCTTGGAGATGTGGAGGATCGTCTTCTAGTCGCCAAGAGAGGAAATGAGAAGAGGAGTGTGAGGAGAGGAGCAACTAGGGAAACAAAAAGAGGGTTTATATAGTGCCAATTCCGTAATTGTTGAAGTTTTGGAGGGGCATTTAAGTCATTTCATCACCTTCCAATCAGTTGCGCGCTTAAGCTATAATTCATAAGCATCCCCAAGCAACTTCATGATTTGAGCTGAAAATAGCTTTTTTAAAGTTATAATCTGATGATTTAAGTTGTACCAAACACAACATTGTAGCCTAAATTAAGTCAAAAGCTGAAATAAGCAGTTTTTAAGTTCTACCAAATAGGCCCAATGTTAGATATAAGACCTAAAACAAGGCTCAACCTATGACCCACCCATCCAATGCTCTTCCCCACGCTCTCATCACCATCAACAACAACATCTCTCTCTCTCTCTCCTCCGCTTCGACTCCAACTCCACTTCCCTCCTCCTCTCTCCTCAACCCACCACCACAACCCCATCTAATTGCACCTCTCCCCATTTCCTCTCTGTTGTGGATAGACCCATCAAACTCTCCGGGTCCCCATTTCGTGTCTCGGATTCTTCATGTTCTCGCCTCTCTGTTCTCAAACCATGTCTAGAGGATTACTGCAACATGTGTTTAAGAAAATCTACTGCAATATTAATTCAATTCAGTTCATTTCCTTCTATTCTAATACAAACACTAGCAGAAAACTAAATGCTAATTCAAGATTTCGTGAACATTTAAATTGATTGGGCCAATCTTTAAATATATATATATATATATATAAAATTATAAAAAAAAAACCAAAAACAAAACAACAAACAAGAAGATAATAAATTAGCATTTTCTTTTTAAGTGAAAACAACTCAAAAATAATTGTATTTCATAAAAGTACAAATGAGAATTGTGTACATACCACAACTTTCACCTATATGAAAGACACAATTATTTTGAATTTTCTCACTGAAACACAATTTATCTTAATTTCAAAATGTTGAAACAATATCAGGACATTTGTCTCTTGTTATATAGATATCAAAAGGAAACCTATACATAAACACTGAACCAAAAGTGATTTTGGTTTAACACTACAGCAAAAAGTGAACAAGAATTGAGCACAAATTGAGCAAAAATTTAACAAGAACACTGAAAATTGAGTAGAAGAATCTTACCTGAATACTCAGGTGTCGAACTCGTCCAATGGCTATGAATGGTCGCTGCGAAAAAATAAATAAATAAACAAAAAAGATGACGAAAATCAGAGAAGAAAAAGAAAACGGAGAGAGGAACAAAGAGTGTGATCTGATCTCTGTCTATGTAAACCCTAACTCGATGTGTATATATATATATCACAAACAAAAGGCATGAACTCTTACCTTTTCGGTGCAGATCAACGGAAATAGGGAGGAAAGGAGTTCGATTGGCTGATCTTGGAGATGTGGAGGCGTTCGATTAGCTGATCTTGAGATGTGGAGGATCGTTTTCTAGTCGCCAAGAGAGGAAATGAGAAGAGGAGTGTGAGGAGAGGAGCGACTAGGGCAACAAAAAGAGGGTTTATATAGTGCCAATTCCGTAATTGTTGAAGTTTTGGAGGGGCATTTAAGTCATTTCATCACCTTCCAATCAACTGCGCGCTTAAGCTATAATTCATAAGCATCCCCCGAGCAACTTCATGATTTGAGCTGAAAATAGCTTTTTTAAAGTTATAATCTGATGATTTAAGTTGTACCAAACACAATATTGTAGCCTAAATTAAGTCAAAAGCTGAAATAAGCAGTTTTTAAGTTCTACCAAATAGGCCCGATGTTAGATATAAGACCTAAAACAAGGCTCAACCTATGACCCACCCATCCAATGCTCTTCCCCACGCTCTCATCACCATCAACAACAACTCTCTCCCTCTCTCTCTCTCTCTCTCTCTCTCTCTCTCTCTCTCCTCCGCTTCGACTCCAACTTCGCTTCCCTCCTCCTCTCTCCTCAACCCACCACCACAACCCCATCTAATTGCACCTCTTCCCATTTCCTCTCTGTTCCGGATAGACCCATCAATCTCTCCGGGTCCCCATTTCGTGTCTCGGATTCTTCATGTTCTCGCCTCTCTATTCTCAAACCATGTCTCCATCCAAATCTCCCAAATTGCAGTCACTGTCCATGGGATTGCAAGCTCATCAATCTCTCCGGGTCCCCACTGTTTGGTCTTTTGTTTTTGTAATAGACTTTGAGGAGAGCCCTTAATGGAGGTAAAGATCTTGGGATGCCGGATGGTAACTTTACACTTGTCCCTGACGGCATTGACTATGAAACAATTCATGTCCACCCAGGTGAGACTTTTTAAAGACATATATATTGTTTGTAAGAAAATCTACTAGAAATTATATATATATATATATATTCCTCACGAAATGATTGGAAGACAACTTTTTGTTCCAAGGCTACCAAATAACATCTCCTAATCAATGGTGGCCAAAAATTGCATCTCACTTGAGTGTCAGAACTGCTAATCTCTCCATTTCATCTTGGTCTTCTTCATGTATATTTATTTTATGATTCTCTATTTAATTAATTATATCTTCTACTTTATGTAGGGATATATTTTCTGAGTACCAACACGTGGCCAAGGTGACGCCGAGGTGTCATCCGAGGTGCCACGTGTCCTGATCGTGATGCCGAGGTAATCTCGACTAGGCCGAGGTTATCTCCGAAGATATCGGAATCCCAGATAAGCGGATAAAGGACAAGAGTCCTAGAATGAGGAGGGAACTCAGCCTGGATAAGGATAAAGCTCTTAGGGAGTTTATCTCTATCTATTGAAGAGTCCAGGATAAGCACTAAGCTAAAGTCCATTGAAGCTAGGCTTCTAGTAGGACTAGGATTGAGTTAACTATAAAAGAGAGGCACTCCCGATGGGTCTAAAGTACGTAATTTATATTCTAAACAGTGAGTTTAGCACTATTGATTATCTGTGAGAGATATACTGACTTGATCGTCGGAGTGCCCCCGGGTGAACGAACCACTGCTGGAGTCTTCTCTTTCTGTGACAGGTCAGTCAGGTGTCATCTATTCTGCCAGTGCTCTCTAGCTGAATACTGAGTTGGCAGTGTGGTCAAAAAATCACTCACACAATTTGGCACCGTCTGTGGGAAAGAAAGAAGGATAGATGGCTAGTGACGAACAGAAAGATAAGGTTGGGGACGAAATCCCAGCAGGGAACGGAAAACACATTGATCTTAGCATGGAGGAAGATGGTTGCAACGAGGAGACTCAAAACCAAAATCACAGCGAGAAAGACGTCGGCCAGGATGGAGACATGCCAAGGAAACCAGATCAAAGCAGGTACTACAATGAGGACGACCTCTAGGTATGAAAGGATAGATGCCGCCGGAGGGACGAAGAGGTAAAAGAGATGGAGAATAAATTGGCAGACCTGCAATCGGTCGTCAATTTTATGATGCAAAATAACGTCATGCAGCCACCATTCTCACTGCAGGACACGCCGATGCCAGCGGCCAATGCCCAGAAGGGAGGGCAGAAGACAATCCCAGTAGACCCCCAGCACACCAGGAGCGAGAAGCATTCTCACCGGCCATCAAGAGAGGTCGGGCGAGGGGAGCTGAGGAGAGAAGAGTCCCAAAGGACACATTGCACAAAAGAGGCAGCCCCCGGGAACATTGGCATGTTCAAAGGCAGGAGCTGTGCTTCGACACAACTCATGAAGAAAGATCGAAAAGGGCTCACAACGAAGCCGAGAGTTGTATCCCGAAAAGACTAAAGTCAAAAGATAGCCGAGCTCCCGGGCAGAGCAAGGAAGACTTGAGAGATTACCTCAAGAGGAAGCAACAGAATGCCGATGCCGAGGTAACCTCCCCCGTCAAGCCGAGAACACCATTCTCGGTGGAGTTGGATAAATTTGAGGCACCGAAGAGATTCAGTATGCCGAGGTTCCAAATATGTGATGGTAAGTCAGACTCCAACTTTCACGTTGGGTTATACCTGAACTCAATGGCATTGTATAGTGGGAACGAGCCGTTGCTCTGCAAAGTGTTCCCCTCATCCTTCGGGGAGATTGCATCAGATTGGTTTCACAAACTACTGAAGGGAAGTGTGAAGACCTGGGAAGGCCTGGCTGAGATGTTTGTGGCCAGGTTTGTGACAAAGAAGCTACAACCATTAAGGGTGGACGCATTGATGGCTTTGAGAATCAGCAAGGATGAAGGCCTTAGGGCCTACGCAAAAAGGTACTATGAGGTGTTCAACCAAATACCCGAGTGCAACCAAGAGGTGGCAGTCGTATCTTTCAAGGACGGCCTCAAAGATAACTGCCCACTACGAAAGTCTTTGGTGAAGACATTGCCAAAAAGCATGGAAGAGCTTATGGCCAGAATTGAGAAATATGCTAGAGCCGAGGAAGATAAGTCAGGGACTAAGGAAACAAAGCAGGAAAAGGAAAACGGCTCACCGAAGCGAGGTCGAGGTAACAATGGATCCAACAAACAGGAGGTAGGACTTAGAGCTACACAGGCAGTCACAACTATGTTCCGAATCCCAATTCACAAAGTCCTAGACAAAATTCAAAACCAACCCTATTTCAGAACACCAGCAAGGGTACTAGGGGAGTTTATGGGGAGAAACCTTGGTAGGCATTGTGCTTACCACAATGAAGATGGGCATCCGACTCAGGGATGCAGAGCCTTGAAAGCATATTTGGAAGACCTGGTCAGGCAAGGCCATCTGAGAGACCTGGTAGATGAGGCCAAGACGAGGGAAGAACAAGCAAGGCTGCCTCAAGCACCAGCAGCTCTGCCTCCCCTAGCACAACAACTTCAGGCAAGAGGACCTCGGGTAATTAATGTAATTCACTCGAACGTCAATGAGAACGAAATTCGGGGGGAAACGCAGAAAGTAAAGCACTTGCAGCATGTGTACCAGGTCGGGGAGAAAAGACATCGGGCCGAGGAGTTCCAAGGCCCAGTAATATCCTTTACCGAAGTAGACCTTGAGATGGTGCAACACCCACATAACGATGCCTTGGTATATCCCTCCAGGTTGGGGAGTGCCAAGTGAAGCGCATCTTAATCGACCAAGGCAGCTCTTGTGACATCATGTACGTCAGGTGTTACAAGGAGCTTGGCCTTCACCCAGATGATATGGAGCAGTCCAACGGCTCAATGGTCAGGTTCAATGGAACGCCGACGTGGCCACTGGGAACAACGAGCTTAGAGGTGCAGGCTGGCACTAAGAAGATAAAGACAGAGTTCACTGTAATTGACACACATTCCCCTTATAATGCAATCCTGGGAAGGCCGTGGTTGCACGCAATGAGGGTTGTTCCCTCCACATTGCATCAACTATTGCGGTTCCCAACAGAGCATGGGATAGAGGAAGTCAAAGGAGATCAGCTGCAGGCAAAGAACTGCTCCATGGCGGCAATGAAATCTACCTGCAGCATACGGGAGCCAGAGAAGACAGAAATCGAAGATGAGGACATGAAAGTCCTAGAGGACGTCGGCAAAGAGCCAGCCGAGAAGAGTAAAGAAGCACTGAAGAAAATCCTCGTCCAGGGGGGGGGATGAAGAACGTTTTTTCCTTCTTGGCTCGGGCTTAGTCGAAGAAGAGGAAATAGAGTTGGAGGCCTTCCTAAAAGCAAACATTGAGGTGTTTGCCTGGACGCCTTATGAAATGCCTGGCATTGACCCCGAGGTCACTTGCCATAAACTGAACATTGACAGGTCGACCAAACCTGTAATCCAACGAGCAAGAAGACCGACATTGGTGCATGTCGAAGCAGTGGAGGAAGAAGTGGACAGACTTCTAGAAGCAAGGGCCATTCGAGAGGTAAACTACCCAACATGGCTATCAAACACAGTGGTGGTGAAGAAAAAGAACGGTAAATGGAGGGTCTGCGTGGACTTTACCAGCCTAAACAAGGCTTGTCCCAAAGACAGCTTTCCTCTACCTAAGATCGACCAACTGGTGGATGCCACCTCGGGGCATGGAAGGACGAGCTTCATGGATGCCTACAGGGGGTACCATCAGATCGCCATGTACACCCCAGATGAAGAGAAGATTGCGTTTATCACCCCAAAAGGGTTGTACTGCTACAGAGTAATGCCCTTTGGGTTGAAAAACGCAGGAGCAACTTACTAGAGGCTGGTAACCAAGATGTTCAAACATCTGATTGGTCGAACAGTGGAAGTCTACATTGACGACATGGTCGTGAAAACCAAGGAGCTTGAAGGACATCTGGCCGACCTAAAAGAAGTCTTTGATATCCTGAAAACATATCAACTCCGACTCAATGCGTCAAAGTGTGCATTTGGAGTCGGATCTGGTAAGTTCTTGGGGTACCTGGTGACCAAAAGGGGCATTGAGGCCAACCCAGATCAGATCAAGGCCATCTTAGAGTTAAAAAGACCGACGTCGGCCAAACAGGTGCAAATACTGACTGGAAGGGCCGCAACCCTGAATAGGTTCATCAGCAAAAGCTCGGACAAGTGCAAGCTTTTCTTCAACTTAGTGAAGAAAGCCACAGATTTTTTGTGGACCGAGGAGTGCGAAGCCGCTTTGGCCGACCTGAAGAAGTAAGGCTCCAGTTCTCTTAAATCCAGAACTCGGAGATGAGCTGTTTTTATACCTAGCGGTTTCAG